ATAGTGATCTTCATAATAAATCTACATTTAATCCTCCAAATGCAGCTAATCAATGTATAGATGTATTAAAAAAATGTGATTATTAGAGATTTGGAATTTATTAATCCAAATAAATATATTAATGCACTATATATTATCTAGAGAAAAGGAAAGATATTATACTTAGACCTGTGGATAAGGGGGGGGGGGGGTGTAGTTATTTTAGATGAAGTGTTCTACATGCAACAGTTGAAAACTATGTTGAACGATGATAAAGTATATAAACATTTATTGAAAGATCCTACACATAGGTATAGGGATTAATTTAAATTACTAATAAAGTGGGGTTATCAGAATCATGTTTTAAATAAAAGAGAAAATATTTGGTACCTAGTTGTTGCAGAATACCTGTGATATAAACTCTTCCAAAGATACATAAAGGATATAACCTGTCCTCCAGCCAGACCCATAGTCAATGGCATAGGGTCTGTGTCAGCAAGATTAGGAGAATATTTGGATTTATTTTTGCAAACCAGTGTTGTACAAACTAAGGCATACCTAAGGGATACTAAAGATTTATTAAACTTATTACAATGTGTTCAATGTGACATAAATCAACAGATTTATATGGTTACAGCTGATGTATCATCACTGTATACCATTATAAGTCATGATGATGCTATGTTGGCCCTTAATTGGGCTTTCAGCCAAAGGGAGGATCTCCCTCACATTCAGAAAGTCTTTTTGGGGTAAGCCTTGGATTTTTGTTTAAAACACAATTATTTTTGGTTTTGATAATAGTTATTATGAACAGCTGAGTGGCGTGGCTATGGGAGCCAAATTTGCGCCCATCTTGGCAAATATATTTATGGCAGAATGGGAAGACAGGTTTGTTTTTTTTATAAATGCAGGCCTGAAGTGATCTTCTATAAAATATTCATTGATGACCTGTTGTTCATCTGAAAGGATCAGATGTAGAATTACATCAATTTTTGACACATCTAAATATTAATAATAATCATATTAAATTAGAATATCAATTCAGCTATGAATCTATTAATTTTTTAGATGTTACTATTATGAGAAGGGGTAGTGGATTTGCCACAAAGGTTTATTTTAAACCTACTATTAGGAGTGGACATCACCCTTCCTGGTTAAAAAAATAAAAATAAAAAAAATATATATACCTAGAGGTCAATATATGAGAATTAGGAGGAATTGTTCAGATGAAAGTGATTACACTTCACAGGTTAAAATTATTTCTGATAGATTTCAACAGAAGGGATATCCCCTTGACTTTTTAAATCAGATGGAGAGGGATGTCCTAGGGATACCTAGAGAACAATGTCTGATGGATAAACAAAAGGTAGATAACAATCAACATCAGTGGAATTTCTTATCTGATTTTCATTGTCAATAGAAGGATGTAGAACATATTTTTAAGAAGCATTGGCATATTTTGTTAATGGATAAAACATTGGGAAATATTTTGCCAATAAAACCTAAATTTATTTATAGGAGAGCCCCAAATTTTCGGGAGAAATTTTTTTCGAAAAATAATAGGTGCCCCCAGTGTTACATCTATGTTCCCTCATAATAAGGGGTTTAAAACATGTGGTAAATGTTGGGCGTGCCGTACTGTAAAAAATAATTAAACAATGACAACTACTTTCACTTTTGCAAATGTGGAGCATGAATTTATCATATCTGAATTTATTACTTGTGATACCACCCATGTAGTATATTTATTACAATGTCCATGTAATGTAGCCTCCCTAGCTGTCTGATTATGTCAGTATTTCTGTGCTCAAAGAGGTACATTTTTTTGGAAATATGTAGTTTTTTCATTGTAGGCCTGTAATTTTTAGGAATAACTCACTGAAATCTGTCCGAACAAGAGTCTAGTAAACATCCCGGATATGTTAAAATTTTAAACACAAAATCATAAATTATGATTTAATAATCATAAAAAAATAATAATATAATAATAATAAATTTAATTCAATAATATAATCAAACCAAAAACACTGAAATTTGAAATATAGCGCCAAGTTCGCACATCACTGAGCAAAGTCGCAAAATCGTTTTCAGTGTCTGATGACGAATTTCCCCACAAATCATTATCACTCAATTCTGCAAGTAGTTCTAATTTACCATCGCTGTTCTCTAGCTGGTCTAAAACTGCTTTTGACCTAAAGGCATGCTTTTTGGACGCCATGGACATTTCTCAGTTTCAAGGCAGAAAGAACAGTAAAAATGCAGGCAGGGCACAGGAGAAAGCACTAGGGACATGTATGTGAAATGGTTTGATACAGTAATGTTTTACTATGTAATTTTAGTGTATTTAGTGAATATCACTTTTTGACATTTTTAAATTTCCCGCCAGTTCCGTCCCCGTACGCCCTGACGTCACCATCAGCCGGAGGACATTGCCAGGGGCGTTGCAGGGGGGACATCGCGGGAGCGAAGGACAAGGTAGGTGAAAAAGAAATCCCAGAGCAATGCTGCGGGGTATTCCTGAGTGTAGCTCGGGGTTACTGCTTGTGGTGCTGAAACTTTACCCCGAGCTACACTCGGGAATACCTCCAGGGAGGTTAATATATGTTGGAAGAACTAAAAGACCATTAAAAACATGCATAGCGGAACATATGAAAAATATTAAAATAGGATTTAAAGACCAGTGTTTCAGAACATTTTTCTAAATATCATCATAAGAATCCTTCCCTATTAAAATTTTGGAGAATCGATTGGGTACCCCCTAAATGGCGAGGGTCAAATAGAGTTAGAGAATTGTCTAGACGTGAAACCAAATGGATCTTTCTCCTTAAATCATTAATACCACATGGATTAAATGTTGAATTAGATTTAAACTGTTTCGTTAGTGATTTTTGAAGTTATGGTATGCAGTGCACCCTGCAATACTAAATATTGTACTATTGTGTTATTATTATTATCATTTTAGGTTATTTTTAATTTTAATTTTAAATTTAATATTTTTATTTAATTTTTTTTTTTTTATTGTAATTTTTTTTATGATTAAAGTTTAGGATTATAATATATGGTTATGGAATACATTTGTAAAAGCCCAAAGATGTATGTTATTATGGCATACTTATATTTTGTGAATTATATATTTATTAGTGATTTGATAAACAGAATATTTACCTTCAAAATGGTTAAATATTTCTGCCAGGTTGTAAGCATGGTAAGGAGGTATTAACCAACTATGTTTGTATGTTATGGGCGGAATTTCTGCTGTAATATAGTTAGCCAATCAGCAACGCTGTTTGTCTGATAAGCACGCTATATAAGCGTGGAGCGGTTGTTGCTTAGCCACTCCCTATGAATAAGTCCGGATGTGAAGAAACGCATCAGGGATTGGTTGAGCGAAAACCGGAAGTGGCGATCTTTGGAACCGGAAGTGACGCACATTGTTTGAGAGCGAGGATCGTCAGCGGTGAGAGCGTTGTGTGGTCTTCCCTCTCTGACATTACCTTCACTGCATTTAAAGAGATACATCTTTGGGCTTGTTTTGAATTTTGTTCTTGTAAGTGAGTTTCTTTGAGCAGAGATTAAAAGGTTTTAAAGGATACTATACTATGTTGGGTCTCTATTTCCTTTCTTTCACTTGATATGGAGAATCATCTGCAAGAATTGTAGGTCTGGAGTGCTGGAGCCATTCTGGGGAAATTATTGTGGAAAGTCTGATACTGAGGCTATTGATTTGAAGTGTTGCAATCACTTTGGAAGGAGTCGATGTACATGATATATCCTGATCTGAAGAATTATGTTTAAACAAAAGCGCATTTTGCCAACCATGAGAGTGGGAGGTAAATAAAGTTGTTGAGTGCATATCTAAAGGGGAGCACAGCACAAGTTTGGAGATATTCTTTACAGTCACGTGGTGATTTTATTTTGAAAAATTCAATTCATATGGTGGATTTAATGAGGACTTTTGTTGATGGACTTTCTGTTTATTTATTTTTCATTACATAATGTTTTATTATATAATTTATTTGTTATGATTTATAGAGCACTGCATATATTTTGGGATTTTCAAAATATTATTTTGGTCACAATATTACTATCTGCCCTCCCTTTCCTGGCCACCCAGGCTGTATGCCTGCATAAGGGTGTGTTTAGATTTTTAGGAGAAACCCTATGCCATTTTTTTAAATTTTTTTTTTTTACTAAAAGTATTCATTGGTTTTAGTAAAAGCATTACAAAATGTAATAGCACGTGATAAAATTAGAAAGTGAATCAACGAAAGGGAATACACCAATGTGAGATAATTTGTCAATTAATAAGTCAAAAAACATATGTGCTGATCAATTGTATTAATTGCATCAGTTTGCCAAAATCATGTCTTTGATAAGGCAAGCCTTGCAATCAACAAGTGTGTAGTGAATTGTTTTGTGAAAGGGGGGTATTTATCAATGCCTAATTCCAAAAGAGCGAATTCCAGAGTTAGATCATAGAAGATATAAGTAGTTGAAGAAAGAAATTTGAAGATCTCCATCCAAAATGGTAATATAACTGGAGAGTTCCACCAGATATGGAGCAAAGAGTCTACATAGCCACATTCTCTAAAAACATGACAGGACATTTTGGTGAGGGAACGGACGAGCCAGATATTGAAGATACCATTTATGCAAGTTTTTATACACAGATTCTCAATAAATCTTATTCCCACTGAAGCATAGTTGTAAGTTTTTCAGGAACCAAACATTTAGAGAGGAGGCCATATAAGGGATATTCCTTACATTTTGTAGTAGTAGAGGTATATAATGAATGAATAGAATACAAAAGGGACCTCCATGAGTGGTATAGATCGAATAAGGTGACAGATTTGAAAATACTTAGAAAAGCTTATGAAAGTCCTTATTAAATATGGAATAGGTTGATGCTATAATGCATCTTCAAAGGATCATAAAGTCTTATGTGGATAAAGTTGGGACAGCATTTGGTTCCCTGCTTTTTCCCCCAGTCTGTAAGATTTAAAGTGTTAGTAAACCCACACCCAGGGGCGGACTGACCATTGGGGAACTCGGGCACTGCCCGAGGGCCCGGGGTCAGTAGGGGGCCCCATGAGATGTCCCTGGTACCTTTCATAGGCTTTTTTGGGTGTGGTTTGAGTGTGGGCGAGGACACAGGGGCCCCATGATCCTCTATTGCCCGGGGGCCCCATGAGTTGTCAGTCCGCCCCTGCCCACACCAGTAAATTCAGTCTGTGTATGCAGTAATACTCACTGTGGAACCTAAGGGGTTAATCCTCCGCATTGTGTAAAAAGGCTGATAGATCCAATCTTCTCTGATCCTCCCCTTCTTCTGCTGTCCCCAATCTATCTGCTGATAGTACAGAGCCCTGGGAAACAGTCTGCACATGCTCAGTTTATTGTATATTGCTGGAGATTTATTTTTCTTTGGGAGGCTGCATGTGATCAGCACAGAGCAAGTCAGCACTGTCCAGACAGAGGGTCAGGGGTTATACACCCTCATAGGACAGTCCAAGCAGAATGAAAACCCCTCCTACAGGCTTTAACCAGTGCTCAGTTGGATACTGATAGAAGTCACAAGACTGCTATATACTGCTGATGAGAAAAGGTATTTAGCAGTTTATATTTACTACAATAATTGCATTTCCATGTTCTGTGTTCTGTAGGAGACCAGATATAGTGAATGCAGGGTCCTAGGTTTAGTATCACTTTAAATCAGGAATTGGCAACAATATTTTTTTCCATTTTTTTAAACCAGACCCCTTGTCCAAGCATGTAGCCTGGGTGGCCAAGAAAAGACTAGCAGCAAGCATTGTTCTACCATACCAGACCACATGCCTTTCAACACTGGCGAGTACCTTAGAAGGGCAGCAAATCCCTCCTTTCTTGCACTTTTTCACATCCGGTACCCCAAAAATGTATATGGGGAATTTTGAGGGGACTTATAGGAGTCTAAAAGCTGCCTTTATTAAAAGGGGCTCCAGGTATCTGCCTTCTCCCAGGGGAATAAGTACAGGGGTACATTAGTACCCCCATTACTAATTCCCCCCCAAAAAATAGTCAAATGTAACTAAACACACCAATATCAGGAAAAGGTCCTTTAATAAAAATGTGTAACAATGTCACTCAATGTGAATCCATTGTCAATCACAGCAACCAGCTATGCAAATCCATTTTCACGCACAACAACTTGCCACCCACCGATGCTTCTCCAAAACACTCCCATTACTAAATGACAGATTCCAGCACTGTTCTAATGAAAACATAGGGCTGGGATCCTGAGTGACATCATTGACCATATTTGATCATGATCATATATGGTCAACAAAGTTACTCAGGGTCAAAAGTGCAGGGAAAAGTATGGATTTAGAGCTCACCATGATGTCATAAAGTACCAACATCCCTATTATTTATAGCAGGGACATGTGTTTTGGGGGCTAAAGGTACCAATACAGATCATTAGCACTGCTAAATCAAATGTCAGATTTGTTTTCAAATTCCATGCAAAATTATGCTCTGATACTCCTTATATATGCAATAAAATACATAGTACTTCCACTTCTAACCCATTAGTCAGATATGCCCAACGATAGATTCTTTGAGGATCTGCAGATGATGTCTGCCTGGCTAGAGCAATAGGTGGCAGAGAGAGTGGACCCAGCCTAATCCCTGCAAGTGTGCATCGCTTTCATGAATACTTTCTTGCCAACTTTTTGCCCTCAGCCATGGGTACCACTATGCACTGCCACTTTCATGCCCATCCTGTGTTGTTTACATTCTTTCCCGGATACACTGTCCTTTGGGCCCTGGCATGTTCTGTTCCCATCATGATGTTGGACCTGGCTAAGACTACATGAAGATTAAATGTCTTCATTGCCATTGCTTGTGCTTATAGTCAGTTTTATTCACCCCAGGACACCATACTCCTGATACTTTTATTTTGCTACTTTATCCAGTTCTTCATTGGAGCCACTTACTATTCATCAAGTTATGTTATATATAAATGAACCTAAAAATGTGTATAATTAATCCTGCACCACCAACCTGTGTATTAACATTTTCTTCTAATTACTGGTATATACTAAGGAAGTCACATGCCTGTGATGATATGCGTGTAGGCGGAGCCAGACAGCAGGGAACAAGGAACAGGAAGTGACATGAGAGCGCTATCTCTGTGACTTACAGATATGCAAATTGTTTTTAACAACTTGCAAGTGCATTTTTTATTTAATAAATGTGATTCCCTTACATACTACACTATGGGGGTCCCCTTTCTTGTGTAATTTTGCACTGCAGACCAGAAACCGCTAATGTAAAGGGCCAGTTACATATAAATAGAAGAATCCATTTGAATAATTGAAAACAAGTTATCGGATGGAAGAGTGTCCATATATATGAGAGAGAGAATACCTTCAGGATTCCAAATGTAAGGAAATAAACACTTTGACCTGTAAGAGGCAGGTCGCATAGTAGTGGTGAGTGCGGATTTTGAATGGTGGAGGATTATGCACTTATGCATGAATTTGGAACAGCACATGGACTTTATTTCATAATCATTGCATGCATTTATGGACGTTTTTTATAAATTATATATCCTCTTTAGGAACAGAACGTTATTCCAATATTAATGTGATTTATGAGATTTATATTTTGGCACATGTGAGGATATGATTCTATGTAATTTATGCATTTGCACTTTGATATTATTAGCACTTTCACACAATTTCTAGATTATATGATTATTTGAGAAGAGTTTTGCACTTATGGAGGTATAGCAATATATATATTGGTGTATTGAAGTTACGTTGTTTGTTACCTGCAGGCACTTCCTCCACCTGATATTTGTAACCCCTGGTATTCCACAGGTGGTGCAGACATATAGGGGGTGTTTTTTTTACTAAAGCTGGAGAGTGCAAAATCAGGCTCACTTCTGCATAGAAACCAATCAGCTTCCAAGTTTAATTGCCAAAGCTTAATTTAACAAGTTGAGGTTAGAAGCTGATTGGTTTCTATGCAGAACTAAGCCTGACTTTGCACTTTCCAGCTTTAATAAATGAACCCCATAATGTCCTCTCTGCTATTGCACCTTTTAACGAGGGGTCTCCTCACATAGGATCAGCAGTAGCATTACGTCTTCCTATGGATATGTCAAGAAATCTACAGCTTCATTTTGTTTCTTTTGTTTTTCTGACTCTCGTTCTGTTTTGTGGTTTATATGCTCCATAAGTTGGGGCAGCGAGGAGCCGGCAGAGGAGTGGGGAATTTATTCCTGATCTACATCGCTATGTTCTGTTCATGTCTATTCCAGTCATTGTATTGCTGCATTTTGCATTGTTCTATGTAATTGTGGACTCATGTAAATGTTACAGCCTGGTCTGCCATGTTGGCCCTGAGCCCATCAGTGGGTCTATCTATTTCACCTACTGATTTATGGTCCACCTGAGGTTTTGCACGTGGAATGTCCGTGGGCTGCGAGATAAAGTTAAACATTTTACAGCTTTAACATTTGTTAAAGCCCAACCTGCGGATTTTATTGCACTAGTGGAAACACATGTTACAAACCATTTACAATCTGCACTTAAACGTCCCTGGGTTAGGTGAGCCTACCATGCCACCCGCACACCCTACTCTAGAGGGGTGTGCATTCTTATAGCAAATAGGTCCCCTTGGAACTATTAGCAGTGGTTAAGGACCCACAGGGTATATTTGTTTTCCTGCATGTCCACATTTCTGGCCTTCCTCTTCTTATCCTAACCTGCTACATTCCTCCCCCTATAATGCTGCAGTAATCAGTGAAGGCCTTGATTTTATGGAGCAACACCCAGCAATGCCTGCAGTGTTGTTGAGTGATTTCACTATGGTGCCTAATTCTAGCTTATACCGTATGTGCATGGAGAATTCTCCCCCTACCATGAGACTGCACCCCCTTCTTAATGATTTTGCCCTGCCAGTTTCCTGGAGACACAAGTATCCCACTCTGGGGGGATATTCATGCTTCTCCACCACACACTATTCAATGTGCCATATTTTTTTTTTTTTTTTTTTTCTCTTGTACAGATCACCAATGCAGATTTTGTCCTAGAACTTTATCCAATCATTCCCCCTATTGGATTACACTGACAATGGTCCCCTCCTTTCACATCCTTATGTGGTGCTTAAATTCCTTTTGGTTAACTGCCATAGAGGATCAAGAGGATATTCCTCAAGAGCAGCTATATTTTTTATATTGATGTAGATACCGCCTCTCCTGTGTCAGTATGGGAAGCATTCAAACTCCATGCATGCAAAACCTCCTCCAGACTAGCACTTCAAGGGGCCACCACCCATTTGAGTTTCTTAGAGGAATCTTTGCTAGAGATCTCTCTACTGCTCTCCTGCTCTGGCCTCTACCCTGCAGATGCTAAATGGCCTAGTGGATCAATTGCACTTTGAAGAGGTGAAGCAAAAGCTTTTTTTTTCTGTAGACAGCATGTTTTTGAGTATGGGGAGTGGGCAGGCAAACTGACAGACTAAGAATAGGAAAAATGACTGCATGACTGCTACTGCACTAAAATCTTCCTCTTTATTGAAACAACCACAAAAAAGTACATAAAAAAATACAATAGGTTGATGCATTTCAGCTAAAAAGCTTTTGTCATAACCCATGATGTAGCAAACTGCTATACTACTTGGTACATCAGACCGGTGGTGGTCTCGCTGAAGGGCCCCAATGGGACTCTCATTGCTGATCCACAGCTGGTTGTCACAGAATTTAGAATGTACTTTAAAAAGCTGTGTTATTCCCATGCGACCCATTTGATGGAAGCTGCTCGGGCCTTTCTTCACGGTCTTGATTTCACCAGCCTGAACAAAGACCTGTTGATGCTTTTGGAGGTCCTTCTATCTGCAGATGAGATCACAATAGTGGTTTCCCAGTTAGCCACTGCCAAGGCCCCCAGCTCGGATGGGCTGCCACTTGATTTGTAGGGTACATATGCAGACATACTGCTCCCTCAATTGCCCCCCCCCCGCCATGCATGAGGTTCTGATTATTGTTTTACCAAAACAGGGCAAAGATGCCTCTTTACTAGAATCCTACCACCCCATTTCTTTACTACAAGTAAATAATAAAATTCTGGTGAATATATAATCCTCCTATCTTAACCAAGCCATACTTTCGCTTGTCCATTATGACCAAACGGGCTTCATGCCA